AGAGAGAGAGAGAGATTATCATATTTAGATTTTCTTAAATTATTGCTTTTATTAGTATAAATGTATATAATAAATGTATGTATGTAATAAATGTATGTATATAATAATATCATTTTAAATAAAATTGAGATTATCGAGAATTATAAGATATTGATAAATATTTTTGTCTTTGGTCCATAAATTAAAGCTTTTTTTTCAAAATTGTAATTTACGAGTTATCATTCACTATTAATAATGAACATTTTAAGAATATTATTGTTTATTTTATGATTCATAATATGATAATAATGATTTAGTCACGATAATAAATTATAATACAATTTTAAAAGAAATATTTGTGAAAATTTCAAGAATATAAAATTTATCTCTCTTCTTCTGTTAACAAATTAATAAATCAGACAAATGCAAAAATATATTGATTATTTTTGTATTTTTGTATTTAGCATGATGTTTATGTAATTGACAATTATTAATATTATTAATATTAATTAATTAATTAAAACATACAACATAATTAGTGGAATGCAATTGAACATTTTATGAAACAATCTCTTACGCGCTAGCATGAACGTTATTATTGTGATTCAAAACTTCTTGTGCAAAATAATTTGCCAAAAACATGTATACAAGAACGCAAGACACGAAAATAAAATGAAAAATGCAGTCTTCCTTGTTTCCAACTGAAATAGCCCAAAAAATCTAAAATAACGTAGTTCTTATAAATTTTTGTATACTTGACAGTTATTCATTTTATACTATAACATATTATTATAAAATTACAAGTAAAGAATATAAAAAATAATTTACACAATCTTTTTCTGAAAATTTCTGAGTAATTAAAGTTTAATTATTTTTTGTTTTAATTATTGTCATAATTTTTTAGTACATATTTAAAAATGTAAAACACAACTTACTGCGAAAAGATTAAGACTTAAAGATATCACACCGACTAGTATTAATAAAACGAATGATCCTTCAAAGTTGGATAACAAAAGTTCCACATACCTTGAAAAAAATTTATTACAAATACTATAATACAATATGGTCATCATATACTATACATTATATATACAAACTTTATAGCTTTGCGATGAATGTCGACGGCATAAATTATTTCTTTATGAATCATAATTTCGTCTTTTGTGCTAATTTTTTTAAATACTTTAATCCTCATTGCTTGCTCCATACGGTAACTATAAATTAATTATTCGCTACGAATATATAGTCTTGTATGTACGAATATATAGTCAAATTGCTTTATTATATATTAATACAAAATTAAGTTTTTTTTAACCACATAGCTTTTAAATTCGTTTCTTTCTCCTTTTTACAGATATATTTCTTTACCTGGCAATTTTAAACATTCCACATCCGTGTTCCATATATCCTAAAAGCATTGTTCCTGTTCCTGTTAATGTAATCGCTCCTATACATATGAATGTATTCATATGCAACATAATTAAAAACGAATACTTTTCTTGATCGATAAAATACTCCTGAATTATCGTGAAGTGTATTATTTCACGTGACTGAGATTTATTTACATGCAAAACAATATTAAAGATTGGCTTCAGAATTGGTATTATAGTAGGGATAAGCACAGTGCATATGCAAAATACTGAAAACATTTTAAGAAAGTATTTTATATTTTTGCTATTCTAAAATAGTATGTTACGATATGTTTTTAAAAACAAATAAAAATGTTTTTAAATCTGTTTTCTGTATATAACTATATTACCAATTTCATAATGCAAAATGTTTTTATAATTGCAAAAATTTTGTATACTTTAATGTAATATTAGAAATTACATGTACATTACATGTATATTTATTGTTGTGAAAATATATCTGCTTGTATGTTTTTTAAATATATCTGCATTTTAAAAATGTAACACAATTTTTAGCTTAATGTAAAAAGAAAATATTATAATAATTCAATTATTTATTTTTGTTAGAATTGATTTAATTAACTTTGAAGTATGTTAATAATATATATTATCTTACACGTAATTGCTGTTGTATAATGTTTTGTATTGTTTCCATATTTTTTCATGATATTTATCTCATTCTCATCTTTTAATTCGTTACAGATTTGCTGTAGTCGTTCCATTAAATGTTTTACCTTTTATAATATATAAAATATTTCTGGTTGGAAAGCTTAGAAAAGATTATCTTTCTCATGCGTGGAAATTTAAATATAAAAATATTTATTTATACACATAATCTATACATACATGCATATGTGCATACATATTGCATACATACGTACGTATATGTATGCATTATGTGTGTGTGAGACATGGTACATATTTAACTTACATTACGAGCGTTAATCCAAAATGAATTATATTTTATTACATATATAATACAAAACGTTGTGGTACAAAGAACTTTTATTACTAGAAGGGAAGTGCATTCTGTTGTCAAGAATATTGTGAGCTGCAAATAACGAACTTAGCAATGAAAATTTGCATTAAAAAGATGTTTTTATATGTTTAACGAAATAATCAAATTTGAAATAATTTGGAATAAATTGTTTTATAATGTAAAGTAATATAATGACATTTTTATCAGACAGAACATATATATATATCATACTATTCTTAACTTCTTACAGATATAATAGTCATTAATCAAATTAGTTCACTAGTCAAACTAAATTAATTCACTAATTAAATAATTCTTTCTACTAAAAAAGTTTAAGGTAATAAAAATAATCCCATATAAAAATGTGAAACATGATATAGAATACACATACCTGAAAAATAATAAAACTTATCAGAATAGTAAAGCACAGCATTATTTGAAACTGAACAAGATTCGATTTACAATAAGGCCATAAACCAACAGCAAGTAAAAGGATTCGATGAATATTGAAATATCTAGTTTTAATACAGATCATTACTTTGCGAGGATGAAAATGCGTTTGACTATAAAAAGGGCAACAAAATTCTACACATTTTTATTTATTGAATATTTTATAACTTGCCATTTTTATAAAACGTATCGCAAATTATTTCATTGAGCATAAGTGTAATGGTGAAATTGGCGAAAAGTGCCATTTGAGATCGAAATATGCATAATTTAACAATTTTTCCAAGAAAAGATTGGCTATTAAGCGATCAATATAATGTGAGAACTTGAACGAATGTCTTGTAGAGAAATACTTGTCCATGTGTTTTTTGAAGTTCGCGCAAGCGTAGTGATCAATTTTTAATAACGCTATGAGATATTTCTATCGTTTTGTGGTACGTAGTCGTATAAGTT